ATTTGTTTGTTTGTTTGTTTGTTTATTCTTATTTTTATTAAGGTATGATTGATATACTCTCTTATGAAGGTTTCACATGAAAAACAATGTGGTGACTACATTTACCCATATTATCAAGTCCCCACCCATGCCCCAATGCAGTTACTGTCCATCAGTGTAGTAAGATTCTGGCTGCCTTTAATACTCTGTCTTTATCTTTGATCTTTGCCATTTTAATTATTATATGTCTTGGTGTTGTCCTCCTTGGGTCCCTTGTGTTGGGAGATCTGTGAGCTTCCATGATCTGCGAGACTATTTCCTCCCCCAGTGTGGGGAAGTTTTCAGCAATTATTTCTTCAAAGACACTTTCTATCCCTTTTTCTCTCTTCTTCTTCTTCTGGTATGCTTATAATGTGAATATTGTTCCATTTGGATTAGTCACACAGTTCTCTTAATATTCTTTTATTCCTGGAGATCCTTTTATCTCTCTCTGCCTCAGCTTCTCTGTGTTCTTGTTCTCTGATTTAACAGTCTCTTGCACCTCATCCAGTCTGCTCTTAAGTCCTTCCAGAGATTGTTTCATTTCTGTTGTCTCCTTCCAGACTTCATCCCTTAGCTCTTGCATATTTCTCTGTAGGTTCATCAACATGGTTATGACCTTTATTTTGAATTCTTTTTCAGGAATATTGGTTATATCTATCTCACCAGGCCCTGTCTCTGGGGTTGTCTGAGTGATTCTTGACTGGACCAGATTCTTCTGCCTTTTCATGGTGATAGAGGTAGTCGTAGGCAGGTGGCACGTGTGTCAGCTGGGAGTACAAAGTCCCTTCCTGCTTTCTGGCCACCTTGCCCTTCTCCGCTGCCTGTGTCAGTTACCTACACACCAGGAGCAGCCTCTGGGTTAATGCCCTGAGCTGCTTTGGGCGGGGCACTCCTTGGAATAGCCCAGAGCCCTGCAGGGAGTGGCAGGCAAGCTGGGTGTGCTCTCCTGCGAGAACGGCACCCCTTCATGCTTTGCCCCTGCTTCCTCTGTCTGTGCTGGGCAGCCGTGCACTGGGGGCTGCCTCTGGGTCTGTCTCAGGTGGCTGCGCAGTGGGAGGAGACTCTGTGTGGTTGCTGTGGGCAGGGCCGCTCTCCAGCTCCTCCACCGCTGTGGTGGGGCAGCCAGTTTGGTTGCAGCATCAGCCAGGGGGAATGAATGGCAGGCTGCTTATCGCCATGAGGGGCTTTAAAGCTGCATTGCCACCCAAGGCGTTAGGGCACCTGAAGTTCCTTAGGATTCCCAGCCTGCTGGGCTGAGTGTGATGGGATGATTTTGTCCACCTGTTAAACCCTTGTCCCTTTAAGACTTTTAAAGCACCCACTTTTCTTTTGACTCAGGGGAGCCAGCTGTGGGGACCCGCTCGCAGTCTTGGTCTTGGATTTTACTTCTCCTTCTCTCTAATATCCAGTGCACCATGCGATGTGGTCTGTGCGGTCCTCTGCTTCCACTCCCTCCCCACTCTGATTGTTTTCCTCCTGCCGGTGAGCTGGGGTGGGGGGAGTGCTCGGGTCCCACTGGGCTGTGGCTTTGTATCTTACCCTTTTTGTGAGATGCTGAGTTCTCACAGATGTAGATGTAGCCTGGCTGTTGTACTGTATCTTCCGGTCTCTCTGTTAGGCATAGTTGTGTTTGTTGTCTTTTCAAAAATATATATGGTTTTGGGAGGAGATTTCCTCCGCCCTACTCATGCCGCCATCTTGAGTCTCTCCTGGGAACTTTATTTTTTACACATTAATTTTAGGTCAATTTGACAGATTCCATTAGAGGGAAATCCCTTTAGGAATTTTTATTAGAATTGCATTGATTTTGTAATGTAATTTGGGGAAAATTAATATTTTTTGAACTGTGACTTTTGATTTAGGAACATGCTTTATCTCATCATTCACTCAGCTCTTCTTTTATATTCTTCAACTAGTTTTTTCCATGAATATCTTGGCATATCTTTCCTTAACTTTATATCTAGGTAACTTAATATTTTGTTGTTATTGTGAATGGTGTCTTTTTCCTATTTCTATCATTGTTTATTTTTGTTGCAAAAGAAAGCTAAAGATTTTTGTATATTGATCTTTTATCTAGCAACCTTAATGAATTCTCTTATTAATTCTCAGTATTTGTCTACATATTTGCTTCAGTTTTCTCTGTAAACTCTTATATCATTTGCAGATATAATTTGCATTTTTAAAAATCCTTGTATTTTATTCCTTTTTTCTTATTGTATTTGCTAGGACGTCTAGCACAATGGAAGTGGAAATAAGAGTGAGCATATTTGCCTAATTCTCACATTTAATGTACATACTTCTAGAGACTACTTCTACAGAATGTCTGTAAAGAATACTTTTCAAGAATAAGGAATAGTGAAAGTCCATAGCTCTGGCTGCCAGCAAGTTAGCTGGAGATTGTTTGGCACTTTGTCTCATGGGTGGAGCCATTCTAGGTCATTTCATGGGTGAGGCAACAGTTTGTTTCTCCTGGCTCCCTGCTTACACCAGCCTGTGGCATGAGCCTCCCTCCCTGGGCAGGAATCAGATTCCCAGCCCCCAAGCCCCAGGCTTTAAGGCCTAGATCCCATTCAGGTGACCCATGAGGGCTTTTGGCTTCAGCTCCTGTTCAAAGGTCTCATTTCAAATTTCCTTTTTTGTTTTTGGCACCTGGGAGTCTTCCTCACTTACTTTTGAGCTTGGCTGAACATCCAAGAATTATGTGGTTATTGATTTATTTAGACTTTTTTTCTGTTGTGTTTGTTCTTAACCCCCTGCCCCATCCACTCCACTTTATTCTCTACCATTTGGAATTTATATATTCTATTTCTCTTCTTGAAGTTTTCCTATGCATATTTAACTTAACAAACTCCAAAAATTAAAAATATATTCTTCCCCAAACAGTATAAGGTATTTAGAACACTTTCATTCATCCTTCTTGCCTTAAATACTATTTTTGTTTGGTTCTCTCTTCTGAAACCCATAAATTGGATGCTACTGTTATTCTATATGACAGTATTTGTATTTACCTGATGTTTGCCATCTGGTTTGTCCATCATTTCTTCTTGCATCCCAGCTGTCTTCTGGGATTTTTTTTCTCCCTTAAGAGTCATTCCTTTACAACAGGCTTCTTGGCAATAAATTTTCTCCGGTTTTGTTTGTATGTACATGTTTACATTTAACCTCCACTTTTTAAAGTCAGTTTTCCCAAGTAGAATATTCCAGGTTTACAGTTATTTTCTCTCAACACTTTGAAGATATTTGCCGTGTGATTCTGGTTTCAATCTTTGCTGTTAAAATATTCTTTCAGTCGGTGCACCCAGTCCACCAGTCCTTTTGGATTTCTCTTAACTGTCGTCTTTCCTTTGTCTTTGTCCTCTGCAATCCAAGCATGCATGTATTTTTATTTTTCCAGTGTGGGCTTTGGTGAGATTGGGCTTCCTGGATCTATGGATTCATGTATCTTAAAAGTTTTAGAAAATTCATACCTTTTATCTCTTAATCATTGCTTCTTCTTTTTATTTTCTCCTTTTGAAGTTTCATTTAGACCTATGCTAACCTTCTTGTCATACCTTGCCATGTCTACTAATTTCTCATTTATCTTTTCCCATCATCTTATCCTATTTTTATTGATTGATTGATTTTGCTTCATTATGATTCATTCCTGAGGTGTATCTCCCAGTTCACTAATTCTGTCTTCAGTTGCAAGTGTTATTGTTAATTGAGCCTTTAAATTCAGTAATTTTTTAGACGCTATTTTTTTTCAAGTTTGCTTTTTCATTCCAATAACTTTTTGTTATATGTTTATCTTAGTAATTTTATCTTTCGTTTCTTTAAACATGTCATCTGTAGCTGCTCCAGTGGTGGCGATAGGCAGGAGAGAGCAGCCTGCCTTTGAGGGGAAGAATGTTTTATCACTGACACTGTTGAGAATTGTCAGCTCGGGATAACAACAAAAAGCAAGCCAGCTTTAGTAGGTTTTAACAAAATTCTCTACCAGTGATCACCCCCTTATTGTCTGCGCCCAGGGCTGGTGAATTCCATTGTCTCTGTTGGTATGCCATTGAGATTATTTATATTCTTTTTTTTATTGAGGTATCGATAACAGTCTTATATTGGTTTCAAATATACAGCACAGTGGTTCAGTAGTTACCCCTTCTAGTGCAGTTACTATCTGGACCTGACCTGTATTCTGAATCTGACAGTTCAGTATCTGCCACTCTTGGGGAAAGGTGTGCTAAATCTTATTTCTTATTCCTGCTAAATCTTCACTCATAGTGACTTCTCTTCTTACGGGTTTGTACGTCTCTGTTCGCAAGTTTACTGCTAGATCATTCCTGGTGGTCCTGTGGGGCTACGTCAGGAAGCTTTCCTTCAGAGAAGGCTTGCTTCTGCTGCTTCTGCCTGGTAGCCAGGGGGCCTCCCCAGCCCAAGGCCCTTTTAAACCTCCTCAGGGGCTTGTCTTTAAGCAGGAGTTCCAGGATCTGTTTCCACAATTGAGTATCTCCATAGTAGTGTTACCACCATAGGGATCTGGCCCCTGAGCAACCCTATCCCTCCTGGTTGCCTGTTAGCCGCTCCAGCCTCCCACCATTCTAGCTCGTTTCTCTGGCTCCACCATCCCACCTCAGCTCCCAGCCAATGAGGCCTTGGAACACTTCATAGTCATGATACTGGAAGCAGAAATCATCCAAACATTGTTTTATTATATTGTACCAAGAACTTATGTGATTGGGCAGAATTTATGTGAGAGGGGAACTCAGTGTTCCTAGTTGACTGAAAGGCCTCCTCACACTTTGTAAATACAGGTTCCTGACAGCTCACATTTCCATCCAGCCCAGCTAAGCATGAGGTGCTGGTTTGCTAGTGGAAGATTCAGCCTCAGATGTGGCTTTTCCCGGCCAGTTCCAAGGTCCACCAAGTTGCTTAGCATTGGGAGTGTTTAAGGGAGTGTTTAAGTGTCCCTCGGATGTGTAACCGGCCTCTTCTCACCGTGGCAGGCAGTCCAGGGCACTGGCCTGGTCTTCATCGTCTACACAGAGGCCATTAAAAACATGGAAGTGCCCCAGATGTGGTCTGTGCTCTACTTCTTCATGCTGCTGATGCTGGGCATTGGGAGCATGCTGGGGAACACAGCGGCCATTCTCACCCCTCTGACCGACAGCAAGGTCATTTCCAGCCACCTGCCCAAGGAGGCCATCTCAGGTGAGAGCGCCAGCCAGTGGAGGACGGGTGGTGCAGGGAGGGCTGGGATGCTGTGGGGTGGCGAGCAGCTAGGGGCCATGCCCTGGCTGATATGGCCCCCAGGGGCTGCGGCAACCTCACGGCAGCCCTGCCACGGCCTTCACCTTGTCTCTGGCAACCTGGGACTTGGCACCTGTGAATCACCCCATGCACCTGGCTCGTGGTGAAGTGAAGGGGCCGCCCCAACCTTGGCAACAGGCCAAAGTCACCAACCTGGCACTCAGAGCTTTCCAGGCTAGGAGAGAACCTGCTTTTGTCTTTAAATGAAGTATAAAAATTATACCATGTACATTTCTTAACCACAAACTCAATGAATTTTACTTATGTATCCCCCAAAGTAACCATTACTGGTCAAGATACAGAGCATTTCCAGCACCCCAGAAAGCCCCTTCTCACCCCTTTCGAGTCAAAATGCCACCATTCCCAGAAGTCACCTCTATTCTGATCGCTATCATTTTAGGTTTGTTTTTCCTGCTCTTGAGTTTCATATAAATGACATCACAGTATGTACTCTGTATCTGTCGCCTTTACTTATGCTCTGTCTGTGAGGTCCACCTACATTGTTGCAAGCAGCCATATCTGACCCTTTCCAACCTGTGTAATAATCCACCACAAGATTACAGACCATGATTTATCCACCCATTCTGCTGTTGGTGGACACCAGGTTGAGGACCCTGTGGCCCCCATCCCCGCCTTTGATAATACCACTTCACCGCATCTAAGACGTCCCTCCTCCCAGCCAGAATCAAACCCATGAGTTCAGGGGCTGAGTTGTTGAATTAAAGGGAAACACAGCCCCACAGTTTAGGTGATATCCCGCGACAGCAATGCCCACGACTTTCTCTTTTGCACTGAGCTTTGTGGCTCCTGCAGGACACTTCGTGAAGTAACATCAGTGACTCGCATGGACTCTCCTTAGGACACCTTTGCCCCACCCTCCACACACACGCATGTGGCACATTCAGAGAGGCTGATGCCGACTGCAGTTCCACCCCACGTGGATGAACCAATCCGACCGAGTCCCCTTCAGGTCCGTGGGCCCGCAGATCCCATTGAAAACGATGAACAGGCGGGGTCCCAGGCCCGTGAGCAGATGACCTTGCGTCTCCAGGTTTGGTGTGCCTCGTCAACTGTGCCATCGGCCTGGTGTTCACCATGGAGGCCGGCAACTACTGGTTCGACATATTCAACGACTACGCCGCCACCCTGTCCCTGCTGCTCATCGTCCTGGTGGAGTCGGTGGCCGTGTGTTACGTGTATGGGCTGAGGAGGTGAGGAGGCCCCGCCCCCACGGCTGCATTGGTTCCTTTGACCCCTGATCCCAGCTACTTCTCTGCCTCACTTCCATCTTCGTTTTGTCTTCAACCAATATTTTCTCTATTTCCTGTATTTTTTCTTCTTTTTCCATGATATTTGCCTGTTGACCCCACTGGACCCCATTGGTTTACTGGGGCTAGGAATCGTGCCCCCAGACCCTAGACACTCTGATCATTTGTGAATATTAGTGTTTTTCAAGCAAGCCTATCAAAGCTCATTTGATAACTTATGCCTTAGAAAATTCGGCAACTCAGGATGTCAAGTTCTTAATCCCGGTGCACAGTGCAGCCCTGGGATGTTTTAAATCTTACCAAGTGATGGAATGTGTGACTGGGCCAAGAACCACTGGTCTAGAGCCGCTTAAAAACTAGAGCAGGCATCAGAACCAGCACTGAACCTTAAGAACCCACTGGGGTGGGGCCCAAGAATTCACATTGCTGAGAAGTTCCGGGTGAATCTGGAACCACTGGTCTGGGGAGGCTTCCATGCTAAATGTGGGCCCAGAGCAGCAGCATAGACACTGTCAGGGAGCTTGTTAGAAATGCAGAGTCGCGGGCCCACTGGACCCACTTTGAGAAGCAAGTGTGCCAAGTTCTGTGTCCCCTCGCCCGTCTTTTCCAATCCTCAAACTGGCTTGGAGGCAGGGTGGGGAGACCAGGCGTGACGCTCTAGGAGCCAGGCCCCCGAGCCATGTTTGCCACTGTCCCTGGAAGCACAGGGTCCCGTGCCAGGCTGAAGGATTTCCATGATCAAATAGTCCCGGGACATAAAGTTAAGCGAGGCTAAAAGTTCTTGCCTGTAAGACTTCTTGAAGCCTTGAAGGCAATTGTGAATCTCAAAGAGGGAGTTATAATTTGCAGCATTTCCAAAACGTTTTTTGGTTAAGAAATGCCTTTTTAAAATCTTCCCTTCCCCACTCCCTCCCTACACATTGTGTTAGAGTGACCCACTTCCCCCATTTCCCCCGGACTGAGGAGTCTCCGGAGATGTGAGGCTTTCAGTGTTAACGCTGGTAAAGTCCCAGATAATCGGGGACAATTTGGTCTCCCAGGAAATGCCAGTCTAGAGGGGAAATTAGATTGGTAACCTAAGAGGGTTGGTGTTCCAGGCTGAAGAGAGGGGAGGACCTCAGACCTACGGGAGGTGCTGTAGAGGGTGCACAAGCCCACCGAGGAGCTGGTGCTGAGCAGCGAGGGGGCAGGAGAAACAGTGTCCTGGGACTTTCTGTGTGGCCTGATCTGGGAATGACCTAACCCGAGACTGGCGGCCTTCCACCTGCACAGGGGGACAGCGTCATCTAGTGACCACTTGGTGATAGTGCCATTCTGCTTTTATTTCTGCAGCCAGCTCTTCCCCTTCCTCCTTCCAGGGTAGGGGATGTAAAGGGACAAGGGAACAAACACTTTCTGCCATGTGTAGTCTTAAAAGTCCCAGGTGTTCACATTATGGACACGAGTAGTCATGGTCTGGAGCCTGGGGACCAGCAGCAGCCTGGGGCAAGCTGTGGTCTCCGCAGGCATACATGGAGACTCGGGACTCGCCGCAGGTCCAAGAGAGGCAGGAGGCTGTGGCCGCAGCTGGTGACGGTCTCGCCCTGCCCCGCCTCCACCCCCTTTCAGTAGCTGCCTCTCCTAACGTGGGGAGAAGTTTGAAGGCCCTGGACTGGAGGCAGTACACCCCTCCGGTTCTGGGCCTGGGACTGCCACCACCTAGGTGCCCTCAGGCAAGTCACCTTGCAGCCCTGGGCCTGGGTCCCTTCCCCTGGGAAAGTGCTGACAGTACTTTCCACACTTAGCTGCATGTGTGTTAGAAAAATATATGATTAGCCTATCAAATTCATGATAAAATGGATGCTGTTGACCTATTGCTGAATTTAGGTAGAGTCCATGGAAATAAAAGGAAAGAGAGTCTGCAGACCTGCCCAAAGTCACAGTAGGGGCCTGTGGGCCCCTCTGCTCTAGATTCTCCTCCCCGGCCAGCTCCAGCAGACCGCGGCCAAGCACTGCAGGCCCAGGCTTGGTCTCCCTCCATCCGAGAAAACCTGCAGAAGAGATTTCCTTCTAGGGGCATCACTAATGGGCTGTGGGGGCACCGTTAGCAGGGTGGGAGGGGTGGGGCAGAGCTGCCCCTTGGGGTCTCTGGTGTTGAGGACTGGCTTGAGAGACCTTACACCATACTGTCTGTTCCTGCTGTCACGGGGAGCTGCCCTGTGGTCTACACCACCATTTCATCTGAAGGCTGGGGCCAGGAAGATGTCTTCTGATGCCCACTCATCTGTGGGTGGTTGTTTTGCATGCTCCAAACACTCCATGGCGGCCTCAGGGGTGCTTCTCCCCTCCCTGTCTCCCCACCACTCTCCCCAGAAGACATGGGAGAGCAGCCCAGTGGCTGTGTTCAAGGGTCAGCAGTACCACAACAGGCTCTTGCTAACCAAAAAGGGATGTGCAAGCGGACCCCTAACTCCACAGTATGGGTAATCAGACCTTCTCTCCCCATTTTCCAAATAGATTTGAAAGTGACCTTAAGGCCATGACTGGCCGCACTCTGAACTGGTACTGGAAGACCATGTGGGCCGGCGTGAGCCCCGTGCTCATCATCAGCCTCTTTGTCTTCTACCTGAGCGACTACATCCTCACGGGCACCCTGCAGTACCAAGCTTGGGACGCCTCCCAGGTACCTGCTGGGTGTATTTTTTTATTTATTATATTCAAGAAACACTGTCAAATTGCTAAAACTGTTTCTGAATATTTCTTCCCTATTTCTGTACTTGTCAGTATAGAGCAAAAAGAGTAACAGAAAAGTAACAAAAAGTCTGTGAGTTGGTTCCAGCACCATGCTTGCTGTGGCATTTTGCACCCTTGCTTTACTAACTGCACTTGGCTGAGAATGAACACCTGGTCCCCTGACGGAGCTGTCCCATGGCTCCCTGGTGGAGAGGTGGCATTTATTGGCTTTGGGCTTCCTCAGTTCTAATGCATTTGATTTCTGGGAAACATCTGTTGCCACCAAGTAGATGCAGAGGGCCATCAGGACTGCTGTCCCGACAGAGCTGTGCTGTTCCATATGATAGCCAGCAGCCACCTTGTGGTCAAATTTAAATTCATTAAAACCAAATATAATTTAAAATTTAGTTCATTCTCACTGGCCACATTTCCAGCACTCGGTAGCCACCTGTGCCTAGTGGCTGCCTTCTGGATAGTACCGATAGGGAACATTTCTCTCATCACAGAAGGTTCTACTGGCAGTTCTAGCCTGAGGTTGCCCACTGCATTTAGGTGTCTGAATGGTGCCTCAGAAGCAAGGCCTTGACTATTCTGTGGTTCCTCTCGGCGGCTCCAAACTATGGTTCCAAGCACCCTGGCTGAGGTTTATGGAAGAGAAAGAAGCCAAGGGGAGTCAGTCTTCCCAGCATTCTTGCTGGCTGGCTGTGGAGTGGGTAACCATGTGTAAGGATACCCAGCCCAGCCACCCTCTGCCTACCACACAGGGCCTCTGCTCCAGGCCAGACATTCCACTTGCGAAGGATCTTTGCCCACACTCAGCTTCTCCTTTCAGGGCCAGCTTGTGACCAAGGATTACCCCACGTATGCGCTGGCTGCCATTGGGCTGCTTGTGGCCTCCTCCACCATGTGCATCCCCCTGGTGGCCCTGGGAACGTTCGCCATGCGCTGCCTCAAGAGGGGACACACGGCCTCCATAGCCTGAGGACTGGGCTTCCCAGACAATGCAGTCTGCTGCTCACTGTTTTATGGCTACTATTTGGAGGTGGAACCTCATCAGCTGCTTCTTAAAACACTTAACTCCCGATGTGCTCACCCATCATCTTCCTGAGTCTATGCAGAAGTTGGGACAGCGCGGAGGAAGGAGATGCCCTGACAGAAGGCACAGCCCTCTCATGAAGCGGCCCTTTCTTCCTCTGCCTCCCCTCAAGGTAGCACTGTGCTACCTGCTTGTCACCAAAGAGGCTGGCTTTTCAAAGCCTCTCTTGAATACTAGAGGGCAATCATTTTCAGATCAGTTTGAAAGGTTTTCTAAGTGCCTAAGATGACGTATCGGAATGTCACTGGTGAACAATCAGCTTTTTTGAGTTGCGGTGAATGGGCAGTTGCTGTGTGCTCCTCCTTCCCTAAGAGGATCAACTGGTCATAAGAAAGGCGGCCTTTGGGTACGAGAAAGAAAGCCTTAATTCCCTTACCAAGGGGATCACTCTTTTCTAAACGGAGGTCTTTCATGGTGGGTCCAGGACTAGTCCTCTTACAAAAATTGCCCCAAATAGTTTGCAACTCCCTGTGGCACAGTTAGGCACGGAGTTGGTGCGGGCACCCCTGCCCCGAGAGCTCAGTGCTTCGCAGAAGGTGCTAGAGCCACAGTGAGGATGACAGTGAATCTGATTACCCGCGGACTTAATGTTATATTTGGACATGATGGTAATTCTTTACAGGAAAGACCATGAACATTACTTACAATTTTAAATTATTTATCTGTACATAAGTTTTCTAAAATGTATATAATTCAAACACAGCACCTTATAACTGAAGACACCATATTTATGATACAGCACTAGCCCACCATGCAAATATCTTTTTTTTTGTAATAATAAGTAGGTCAAGGTTATCCCTTAAGTGAGAGGGTCCCTTCCCACTCTAACATTCTGTGCTTCACTTGAGATCGTGGAATCTATGGAGGTGTCTTTGGGTAGGTATGTACAGACATCGTTGGAGACACTCAATCACTCACTTGGGACACCAGCTGGAGATTTTTTTGGCTTTTACCTCTCATAACACAAGATTTTCCCCCATTATGTAAACATACAGGCTAATTTTTGAAAAAAAAAATAGAAAATAAAAAGGAGAATCCATCCAGTCTCTTTTGTTCTGTCACCTTTTTCCATGCTTACCTCCCCATACAGCTAGTGAAGCCACACCAATGCAGTGTATGCAGACATGCACATGAAAAGATGAAGGTTAGGCTCCATAAGAAAAATTAGGGAAAAAAATGTCGAATTTGTTGGATTTAAAACAGAATATGAGCTCTTCTGAATTGCTACAGAATCTTTCCAACACTTTTGACAGATGTCCTGGACAATCTACCCATCTTAGGATGTTTCTTTGGCTGAGGCCACAAGAAACCACAGTAGGTATAAGTGTGACCTTTGAACCATCCTGAAGGGGAAAGAGTGTGTAAGCTACTGTATTAGATTTTCTAAAACTTACATAGAAAAATTAATTTATAACTGTGCCACTTTATAAATAGAAAAGCTGGGGCAAAGAACTAACTAACATACCCATCATTTCCTACTCAACATTGGTGAGGGGAAGAAAAGCAAAGCCAGATTAAACATCTCCTTGCAAGGCAAAAAGCACATCTACAAATATGAACCCCTTAATCAGAACTTGACCAGTCTCTTACATAGGAATCACTTTGCTTTCTGACCATTGCCCACTTTCATAGTATCAGCCCTTTACTAGGACCACCAATTGGGGACAGTGCTGAACAGGACAGACATGGCCTCCAGCCTTTATGGCACTTCCATTTGGGAAGAGAGAGAATGATATATAATAAGTGGTATGCTTACAGACTGTGGTCATTTCTAAAGAAATAAATGAGACAAGTGATGGTGAGAGAGGGGTAGTACTTCAAACAGGTGGTTGAGGAGAGTTTTGGGTACTGAAATTTGAATAATGAACTAGTTCTTGGAATTGCTGAAGGTCAGTCCAGGCAGAGAAGGCAGCGAGTGCAAAGGCTGTGAGGTGAGGAAGCGCAGGGAGGCCCGTGGCTAGAAGGGGAGTGCTCAGAGGTGAGCTTGGGGGAGTGGGCGGGGCCTCCACGGCCTTGCAGGCCACAGCAAGGAGCTTGAATTTTCCTCAGAGCAGCAGAAGTCCACTGTGTTTAACCTGGGGTCTGCATGACCTGATCTGTGCCAGTGAAGGATCACTAGCAGCTGGGACGATGAATTGGGAAGGGGTGTAGGTGGGGAAGTTGGAAAGTCACTCTAGGAGCTTCTTTTTTCTTCAGCAAGTTCATGGGAGATGATGGTGGCATGGCCTCAGAAATGATGTGGAGAGAAATGGGTAGGTTTGAGTTGTTTGGGTGGAGAGTTGCCTAGACTTGCTTTTGGATTTGATGCATAGTCAAGGGAGAGAGAGGGATGGAATGCTTGACTTACTGGTTGATGCTGGGGGCACTTTTGAAGAGAAAATGGAACTAGTCTGTGGAACATAAATCTGGAGCTCTGTCTGACCATTTTAAGTGTGAGATGTCTGTGAATCTGGTGGGAATATCCACTGGGCACTTGAACATAAGAATCTGGAGTTCTTGCAAAGGTCTGGTCTAGAGAAATACATTTGGGAATCGCCAGTGTAGAGGTACTATTTAAAGCCACAGATCTAAATGGCATCACCGGGGATGAATGTGTACAGGGGAGGAGGGTTCAGGACTGAGGCCTACAAGGAATCCAGTATGTGTTCTTTTGAAGAGAAAATGGAACTAGTCTGTGGAACATAAATCTGGAGCTCTGTCTGACCATTTTAAGTGTGAGATGTCTGTGAATCTGGTGGGAATATCCACTGGGCACTTGAACATAAGAATCTGGAGTTCTTGCAAAGGTCTGGTCTAGAGAAATACATTTGGGAATCGCCAGTGTAGAGGTACTATTTAAAGCCACAGATCTAAATGGCATCACCGGGGATGAATGTGTACAGGGGAGGAGGGTTCAGGACTGAGGCCTACAAGGAATCCAGTATGTGTTCAGACATGGCCACAGGTTCTTTTCCATCCTAATTGAGAGGTGGGGTCTGTGTCCCTTCCTCCTAAGTCTGAGTGGGCTTGTAACTACTCCAATCAATAGACTACAGTGGAAGGGAACCTTGACCTCCAAAGCTAGATCATAAAAGTGCACCTGGTTTGCTAGAACACTCCCTCAGGCAGCCCCGAGCCACCACAGATGGAGCCCTACTCCCCTGGGACAGCCGTGCTGCAGAGCCATGTGGAGGCGCTACAGCTCACAGGCCCAGCTGAGTCCACCTTCCAGCCTTCTCTGTCTGGCCCGAGCCCAGCATGGACCAGACACCAGCCATCTGTCAGCCAAACACTACTGTTGGCACCATTTGGAACAGAGCCACTGAGCCGAGCCATGCCCCGGTTCCCCACCCATAACAGTGTAAGATTGCTTTCCAGAAATGGGTATGTAGGACAGGAATACAGCAGAGAAGGGAGACCAGCAGGGAATGGAGTTGTGAGTAAAGCTGGATGGAACCCAGGAGAGCATGTGATCCTAGAAGCTCGGCAAGGACCATGTCTTAACTTTCCCTAAACATGACTTACAGCTGTGCTTTCTGCTCTCCTTACCTCCGAGTCTCTGTCTAAAGCCAGCTCTAGTAGCAGCTTCACTTAAGACATAAAATGTAACATGATATGCTAATGGATGAAACTTCAGCTTCATAGAGCTAAAAAAAATAAACAGGCAACAGGCACATGTCACTGAAAATGGGGACTAGAGAAAGATGAATGCCTGAAACCTTTGGCTAAAACAAACAAAAACATAACACAAATCCATGCTCAGGTTACCCCTAAAGGGAAGTGCCAGAAACAAGCAGGCCAGTTCATCTGGGACCAGGGCATCCAATGTAATAATTACACGTCACAACTCCTTAATAATTGTCCCTCCCCCCGCTAGGAAAAGGTTGGTATATTCAACATCATTGAAATTATATACGTCTTCCATCAAGTCACCCAAGGAAATGACAAGCCAAGCCAAGCCACAGACTGAGAAAAGATATACATAGTACATAGAACGACAAAGAACTACTCTCCAGCGTATTCCCACAAGTCTGTAAGAGCAATCTACAGACACAGACACAGAGCAGTTAACACCAACGACCAAAACAACCCAAGGAAATGACAAGCCAAGCCAAGCCACAGACTGAGAAAAGATATACATAGTACATAGAACGACAAAGAACTAGTCTCCAGAGTATTCCCACAAGTCTGTAAGAGCAATCTACAGACACAGACACAGAGCAGTTAACACCAACGACCAAAACAAAATTATGAAAAGGTGCTTGATCTCATCAGCGACCACAGAAATGAGGAAGTTGACATGCTGAGCACACTATGTGGAACCACTAGGAATATAAAGGCACAACCAACTTAGAACAATTTCATGCTAGATCGTACAAATTTTAGGCTCATAAATCTACCAAGGGGCATAACCAGGGGGCAAACCCTTTCCCCTGTGAGCCAGAGGACATTGAGAATGCTCATAGCAGTATTAAGTCCAATAGCTGGCAACCAGACACACCCACAGGGTCCATCAGAGTAGAGCAGATAAAAGGTGAATTGTGATAGAGCCGTCATAAATCCATCACTGCATATATTGTCATATACTCATTCAACAGACAACAGTTAACAGGACTGGACACCAGATATAACTACCAACATGGATAAATCTCAGAAACCGAACAAAAGGCAAGCTGCAGGAGGGTGCATCCAGAATAACAGCACCTTCATAAACTTCCAAAACAAGCAAAAGTGAACAGTACATTTATTTAGGGATGCATATACATACTACACTAGGAAGAAATGCAAAGGAAAAAAGCCAGACTAGTGTGTCCTCTCTGGGAAGAGGGAGCGACGGTCTTGGGAGGGCATGGGACTTGGAATGAGGTGCAGGCCCCATCCTCCCTGAAAGCCTGCGGGAAGCGGGAGCTGACCTGTGGCAGCGGCGGGCACCTCTCCCAGCGCTCTTCTACCCACGAGGGAAGGTAGCCAGGGCTTCAGGTACCAGGCTCGGGGGCCTCGGGAAGCTGCCCTGGATGGGGACCTCCCTGCACACTGGCTGTGTCTCTCCCTCTCTTCTCCCCCTCCTGCTGCCTTTTCCTCTCTCACGAGAGCTTCTGGTGATTCCAGACGCTAGGCCTCAGCCTTTGGGCCACACAACTCATGTCAAGTGGAGCAGATGAGGGATGCCTACCAGACCCTGCCCAAATCGCAGGTTTTTGTGAGCAAAACAAAATGTTATCTATCACTGGTCTATGCCTCTTGAATCTTATTTGCTATGCAGCATTAAATAACCAGAACACCTCAGTCCTGGCATAAGCCCCACCTCCTGCTTCCCTCCATCACAAGCTCTGACCAAGCCTTTGGAATTCTCTCTACTGGCTGTGGTAGATTTCTAAGGCGGTCCCCAGACAGCCCTCCCGCTTGGTATTCCTGCCCCCTTTCCTTGAGTGGGCTGATCTAATGACTTATGTCTAATGCATAGGATATGGCAGGAGTGATGGGTGTCAGTTCTGAGATTAGGTTATAAAAGATGAGACTTCCATCTTGATGCCTTTGATGAACACGCTGCCATGCTGGCGAGGCCCATGTGACAGACACATTGTAAAGCTTTATTATACTGTATCTGTGTTAGGATGACAGGACTCCAGGGGCGGGAGGGATGAAAACCCCCCGCCCTTAACTGCTGAAGCCACTTGCCCCAACAACACTCTTTCTCAACACACACACCCTACATTTCTCCTTCCCTCCTACCTGGGCTTGGGCTTGTCACACTGTCAACTAATCCTGAGTAAATTCTATTCCATCGGGACTGATGCATCCGTATCAGATGATGCTGGGGATCACACTCACCACTAACCCTTCCCGACTCCCACCCCAGTCACTGAACTCTGAATGGATAAAGCTTTTCATTTTGTAGATACAAATAAAAGAGCACAAATGGATGACTGAGGTCCTATACTGACTAAAATCTCATTCACACTGGGGTATAATGAGGCAGGCAGACACAGTTTATCTTTTTTCCCCATGGAAAGAAGGGGTTAGAGACCCAGACAGAACTGCTGGTAGTGTTAGAGGGGGG